ACATCTACATATCTACATAACACAGTGATAAAGGTAACAGACTACAAATGATTCCATTTACATCTACATATCTACATAACACAGTGATAAAGGTAACATACTACAAATGATTCCATTTACATCTACATAATACAGTGATAAAGGTAACAGACTACAAACGATTCCATTTACATCTACATATCTACATAATACAGTGATAAAGGTAACAGACTACAAATGATTCCAACATCTACATATACATACATAACACAGTGATAAAGGTAACAGACTACAAATGATTCCATTTACATCTACATATCACAGTGATAAAGGTAACATACTACAAATGATTCCATTTACATCTACATATCTACATAATACAGTGATAAAGGTAACATACTACAAATGATTCCATTTACATCTACATATCTACATAATACAGTGATAAAGGTAACATACTACAAATGATTCCATTTACATCTACATATCTACATAATACAGTGATAAAGATAACAGACTACAAATGATTCCATTTACATCTACATATCTACATAACACAGTGATAAAGGTAACATACTACAAATGATTCCATTTACATCTACATATCTACATAACACAGTGATAAAGGTAACATACTACAAATGATTCCATTTACATCTACATATCTACATAACACAGTGATAAAGGTAACAGACTACAAATGATTCCATTTACATCTACATATCTACATAACACAGTGATAAAGGTAACAGACTACAAATGATTCCATTTACATCTACATAATACAGTGATAAAGGTAACATACTACAAATGATTCCATTTACATCTACATATCTACATAATACAGTGATAAGGGTAACAGACTACAAATGATTCCATTTACATCTACATATCTACATAATACAGTGATAAAGGTAACATACTACAAATGATTCCATTTACATCTACATATCTACATAATACAGTGATAAAGGTAACAGACTACAAATGATTCCATTTACATCTACATAATAATACAGTGATAAAGGTAACATACTACAAATGATTCCATTTACATCTACATAATACAGTGATAAAGGTAACATACTACAAATGATTCCATTTACATCTACATAATACAGTGATAAAGGTAACATACTACAAATGATTCCATTTACATCTACATAATACAGTGATAAAGGTAACATACTACAAATGATTCCATTTACATCTACATAATACAGTGATAAAGGTAACATACTACAAATGATTCCATTTACATCTACATATCTACATAATACAGTGATAAAGGTAACAGACTACAAATGATTCCATTTACATCTACATACAGTGATAAAGGTAACATACTACAAATGATTCCATTTACATCACATAATACAGTGATAAAGGTAACATACTACAAATGATTCCATTTACATCTACATAATACAGTGATAAAGGTAACAGACTACAAATGATTCCATTTACATCTACATAATACAGTGATAAAGGTAACATACTACAAATGATTCCATTTACATCTACATAATACAGTGATAAAGGTAACATACTACAAATGATTCCATTTACATCTACATAATACAGTGATAAAGGTAACATACTACAAATGATTCATTTACATCTACATAATACAGTGATAAAGGTAACATACTACAAATGATTCCATTTACATCTACATATCAGTGATAAAGGTAACATAACAAATGACAGTGATAAAGGTAACATACTACAAATGATTCCATTTACATCTACATATCTACATAACACAGTGATAAAGGTAACAGACTACAAATGATTCCATTTACATCTACATATCTACATAACACAGTGATAAAGGTAACATACTACAAATGATTCCATTTACATCTACATAATACAGTGATAAAGGTAACATACTACAAATGATTCCATTTACATCTACATATCTACATAACACAGTGATAAAGGTAACAGATTCCATTTACATCTACATATACAGATAATTTACATCTACATATCTACATAACACAGTGATAAAGGTAACAGACTACAAATGATTCCATTTACATCTACATATCTACATAACACAGTGATAAAGATAACAGACTACAAATGATTCCATTTACATCTACATATCTACATAATACAGTGATAAAGGTAACAGACTACAAATGATTCCATTTACATCTACATATCTACATAACACAGTGATAAAGGTAACAGACTACAAATGATTCCATTTACATCTACATAATACAGTGATAAAGGTAACATACTACAAATGATTCCATTTACATCTACATATCTACATAACACAGTGATAAAGGTAACAGACTACAAATGATTCCATTTACATCTACATATCTACATAACACAGTGATAAAGGTAACAGACTACAAATGATTCCATTTACATCTACATATCTACATAATACAGTGATAAGGGTAACAGACTACAAATGATTCCATTTACATCTACATATCTACATAACACAGTGATAAAGGTAACAGACTACAAATTATTCCATTTACATCTACATATCTACATAATACAGTGATAAAGGTAACATAACAAATGATAAAGGTCATTTACATCTACATATCTACATATCTACATACAGTGATAAAGGTAACAGACTACAAATGATTCCATTTGCATCTACATGATACAGTGATAAAGGTAACATACTACAAATGATTCCATTTACATCTACATAATACAGTGATAAAGGTAACATACTACAAATGATTCCATTTACATCTACATATCTACATAATACAGTGATAAAGGTAACATACTACAAATGATTCCATTTACATCTACATAATACAGTGATAAAGGTAACATACTACAAATGATTCCATTTACATCTACATAATACAGTGATAAAGGTAACATACTACAAATGATTCCATTTACATCTACATAATACAGTGATAAAGGTAACATACTACAAATGATTCCATTTACATCTACATAGCACAGTGATAAAGGTAACATACTACAAATGATTCCATTTACATCTACATATCTACATAATACAGTGATAAAGGTAACATACTACAAATGATTCCATTTACATATAAAAATACAGTTCATCTAGATATAGTCGAATATAATCACAAAGTTTCCAAGATAGCTTGAATATAAGTAACCTACAGACTACGTTCATTCGAATATTGGCACTGTTCAGAATATACACATGTACTAGACACTGTTCTATTTATCTAATATAAAATAAAATGACGAAAATTATTTAATTATGGGACTGCTGCACCTTCTAGTCTAGATGCCATTAGCATCACTGACGAGTCCTAGAAGAACAAAATTGGTGTATGATGTAACATCACTGACGAGTCCTAGAAAGACAAAATTGGTGTATGATGTAGCATCACTGACGACTCCTAGAAGGACAAAACAGCTGTATGATGTAGCATCACTGACGAGTCCTAGAAGAACAAAATTGGTGTATGATGTAGCATCACTGACGAGTCCTAGAAGGACAAAATTGGTGTATGATGTAGCATCACTGACGAGTCCTAGAAGGACAAAATTGGTGTATGATGAAGCATCACTGACGAGTCCTAGAAGAACAAAATTGATGTATGATGTAACATCACTGACGAGTCCTAGAAGAACAAAATTGGTGTATGATGTAGCATCACTGACGAGTCCTAGAAGGACAAAATTGGTGTATGATGTAGCGTCACTGACGAGTCCTAGAAAGACAAAATTGGTGTATGATGTAGCATCACTGACGAGTCCTAGAAGAACAAAATTGGTGTATGATGTAGCATCACTGACGAGTCCTAGAAGGACAAAATTGGTGTATGATGTAACATCACTGACGAGTCCTAGAAGAACAAAATTGGTGTATGATGTAGCATCACTGACGAGTCCTAGAAGGACAAAATTGGTGTATGATGTAACATCACTGACGAGTCTTAGAAGAACAAAATTGGTGTATGATGTAGCATCACTGACGAGTCCTAGAAGAACAAAATTGGTGTATGATGTAGTTTAATTCATTGCTGGGCTCTATTGTACCTAACTCTGAATGATTAAAACGGTCGTATTCACTTGTGTGTGTTTTGTACAATTTTCTGTTTCAGCGCTGTTAGGACAGGCATAGATAAAGGATTTAAGGGGATCTAAGAAATATCCAAACCTAGATTTTTATTAATGAAAAAATAAAAATGAAACGAAAAATGAAAATTTGAAGTAAATCTTAATCGGAAACAAACTCTATAATTTTACCGGATCAAATTTTCGCGGTTTCGTCAAAAATATTTTAAGCAAAGACGAGCAACGGTCTTAGCTTTCAATGATATTATCCGTACAAAGGGCAATATTAGAGTCTTTTAATCATTACCTTTAAACTCTTTACATTTTTTTGAATTTTTTCTCTCGTCTAATTCTTATATTTAAAGAAGATAAATTCGAAGCATTCAACTAGACAAACTTCACTCTAAAAACAATGAGGTAGTTGAATACAACGTGAACAAGTTTCAGTTTGTATGGGTTTGACTATCTACCGTTATTGATTACACTCCTGACCTATCATATAACTATCTCTTATTTCAGTAGGTCATTTATTTTGTGATTACGCAATGTTTGTGTGACTCCCTGAGCAATCGTCTTCATATAACCAAGTCTAGAACGTGGGCGATGTAAATTATCAACTAAGTTATGCATCATAACTACTCTTTATTCAAAAGGCTTCTTAATTACTAAATACGAAGTGTGTTTTACTCCAACAACCGGCGGAGGTTGGTGTTCCTCAGAGAAATGGACCAGCCTATGTATCCATGTCCTTAACACGCTTAAACACGCTCTGGATAGTACATGAATAGCTTTCCATGTGTTTTTAGTTAAGGAGCCTAACAGGCTTTTTCAGGGGGCGTTGAACAAGTGATTAAATATCTCATTTAAAATATATCAGAAAACATAAAGTAAATGTTTATTTAAAAATTACCTGACTTTATTATTTTAATTTTGTGGGATGTTTCTATGTTATACTGACTTTCACATTTCTGTTGCAGGTACGAAACAGGCGGGATCTCTGTTATTGGCTAATTGAATAGTGTCAACATTATCTCAGTGTTTGTTTCACATAACAATGGGTGTAATTAATTAGATTAAACTTCTATATATATCTACATATATATATTGTTGTCAATTGTACTGTACACAATGTTTTATGTTAAGTCAAATTGTTCACATGGTATATCGACTACTAAAAACCATCAAAACAAAAGAAATGTTCCACTACATCAAAACAAAAGAAAATACTTCACGCCAACAAAACAAAAGATAATGTTATATCACATCAAAACAAAAAATAATGTTATATCACATCAAAACAAAACAAAATATTCCACCACATAATTAAGAAATATTAATAAGTATTCCATCAAATTAAATCATATTAAAATGCGCACAATACAGGTATACTTTAGGAAAACTTAAGGCGCAAAGTTTAAAGAGATGTTTTGATTGTCCGTATTGATACATTAAATGATGTAGACCTGGTTTCCTCATCTTTGTATGAATGTTAGTGTCTTGGATTATGGGGCAGAACAGGTAAAATTATCAGGCAAAATGAAGTGCTTCATACGACGTTTTGTCAAACACATGTTTGTGGACGATGTAGTTGTTTGTGAACGATGTAGTTGTGTGTGGACCATGTAGTTGTGTATGGACCATGTAGTTGTTTGTGGACCATGTGGTTGTTTGTGGACCATGTAGTTGTGTATGGACCATGGAGTTGTTTGTGGACATGTAGATGTTTGTGGACGATGTAGATGTTTGTGGACGATGTAGTTGTTTGTGGACGATGTAGTTGTGTGTGGACCATGTAGTTGTGTATGGACCATGTAGTTGTTTGTGGACCATGTGGTTGTTTGTGGATCATGTGGTTGTTTGTGGACGATGTAGATGTTTGTGGACCATGGAGTTGTTTGTGGACCATGTAGATGTTTGTGGACCATGGAGTTGTCTGTGGACGATGTAGTTGTTTGTGGACCATGGAGTTGTTTGTGGACCATGTAGATGTTTGTGGACGATGTAGTTGTTTGTGGACGATGTAGTTGATGTTTGTGGACGATGTAGTTGTTTGTGTGTAGTTGTTTGTGGACCATGTAGTTGTTTGTGGACCATGGACTGTGGACATGTAGTTGTTTGTGGACCATGTAGTTGTTGTTTGTTTGTGGACGATGTAGTTGTTTGTGGACGATGTAGTTGTGTATGGACCATGTTGTGTATGTGTAGTTGTGGGACCATGTGGTTGTTTGTGGATGTAGTTGTGTATGGACCATGGAGTTGTTTGTGGACCATGTAGTTGTTTGTGGACCATGTAGTTGTTTGTGGACCATGTAGATGTTTGTGGACGATGTAGATGTTTGTGGACGATGTAGTTGTTTGTGGACGATGTAGTTGTTTGTGGACGATGTAGTTGTGTGTGGACCATGTAGTTGTGTATGGACCATGTAGTTGTTTGTGGACCATGTGGTTGTTTGTGGACCATGTGGTTGTTTGTGGACGATGTAGATGTTTGTGGACCATGGAGTTGTCTGTGGACGATGTAGTTGTTTGTGGACCATGGAGTTGTTTGTGGACCATGTAGATGTTTGTGGACGATGTAGTTGTTTGTGGACGATGTAGTTGTTTGTGGACCATGTAGTTGTTTGTGGACCATGTAGATGTCTGTGGACGATGTAGTTGTTTGTGGACCATGTAGTTGTTTGTGGACCATGTAGATGTTTGTGGACGATGTAGTTGTTTGTGGACGATGTAGTTGTGTATGGACCACGTAGTTGTGTATGGACCATGTAGTTGTTTGTGGACCATGTGGTTGTTTGTGGACCATGTAGTTGTGTATGGACCATGGAGTTGTTTGTGGACCATGTAGTTGTTTGTGGACCATGTAGTTGTTTGTGGACCATGTAGATGTTTGTGGACGATGTAGATGTTTGTGGACGATGTAGTTGTTTGTGGACGATGTAGTTGTTTGTGGACAATGTAGTTGTTTGTGGACAATGTAGTTGTCAAATATCAGATAGAATTGAAATTATTTATTGATTGACTCTTCATTTTTTTCCGCTCGTTAGCTCGTCATTTTCGCCTTTTCCCTTCATTGTTCCATTTTCATTCTGATGGAAGAGGAACTTTACAATCATAAATTGTCCCGAAAAAAACTATGAATGCTTGTTTCTCAACAAAAATAATGTATATAGATTTTCATGCACCGAAAAATGTAGTGCAGCAACATAATAGTTTTATTTTGTATTTTTAATACGTAAGAATTAATATATTTAAACATCCACTGTAACCCAAAACGTTGGTCTTGTGACATGAGTAGTCATGGTGAAACAAACGATCAATTCTGTGCGACAGGAGACAATTAAGTAAATCATTTGTTATTCGCAAATTTCATAATAAAAATATCAGACTCGGAATAAAATGAAATAGAAAAAATAATGTCCTGATAGTGTCACAGCCTCCTCTGATAATCGAGCGGGTGCTGCAGTTCCTTGTTTAAAACTATACAGTTACGGTACCTTTAATTTATCGACTATTTGCTTCCACAATTCAGTAATGCGGTAACTTGTTTATGATACTTCATTAGCTTGCTATTTAAGAGAAAAGTAACCGATAAGTTTCTGGTATTTTTAAAGAAGTCACGTATAATTAATACTTCGATCCCTTCAATTTTGTTGAACAAAATGGAGGGCCTTAAGGAGAAGTCGAGTTTGAATTGGTCTTTAACAGTGTTATTTCGTCAAGTAAACCTTTTGCGATGTCTCCATGTGGTCAGATCAACTTATTTAGTTGGGATGTGATAATTTATTATATAGTCACTGCCGTCAGTAAAATAAAAAAAAATCTTATCGTTACATTAATAATAATTTGCTTATTTCATCTTAAATCGTTTTCTAAATTCTAAAAATTAAACTGTCTTCACTGGAATAGAATGTAGAAATGTTGGCCATCTGACACTTAGGCACCCTAAGGACATAAAAATTCTATCTGAAGTCATGTCACTTACTTTACGTTTCGGCAAACTTCGGAACACCTTTGAACTTTCTCATGAGTCTCCGCTTGATTTTTCGTTTGTTCATATTTTGGTCTAGTTTTATTGGAAATGGAATTCTATTATGTTGACATGTTGGTATTTATTTGTTGCTTTAACAAAGTCGGTATTTTGATATAACACATGATATAATGAACACAGCCATTTTTGAATGTTTTAATTTTTTCATGAACGATCGATTATTGTTCATAAGACCATACTCTTCTATTAACATGACTTGGCCCATTAGATACAGTATATGTACCTAACAAGAAGGACAATTGATATCATTCATGTCTACTGCGTAAAGACAGATTTACACGGATATTCATGCACGAAGTAAAAGAAAAAGACCACGTGTTCTGAAAGGGTACGCGTTTTCTCCTCTATCCACGACGCCCGCCGTGTAATCCAAGCAACAAATGCGAAATTCTTATAGAATTATCAATTATATAACAACGGTAATATTATTCATAGTAACGAACATGGATCAAATATAATTTCATATCACATCCCTATTAGATCACAGAGACGCAATTTTAACTTTAATGACCCATGGTCACATATTTACATACAAGGAACAATGAATCAGTCAAGCGAGACGAAAGAAAGGTGACATTACGGATCAGTGGATGTATGATGATAGATCCGGAGGCAACAAAGGCAGATGAAGAGCTCTGAATTGTTTTCTTCACAAGGATAACGTGTATTAAAAAACTCTGGAGAATTGGTTGTTAACAAACTGAAGGAATTTCTATGTCTGCGAGAGCAAGAAAACATAAAATACTAACACAATAGTCTCTGTGAGATGCTGATTAACACATTATCTCAGAAATCACTGATTCTTACTGAACGGATTCTGCGTGGAAAAAAATTAGCAAGTCGTAAAAAATCGAAAGAAAAAAAAACTAATATATCCTTTATAATATGAAGTACATTTCTATGTATGTGTAGCAAACAAATAGATCATAGAATTCCTATCGATTAACCTGCGATTCCTAATGAAGTAATCGATTGTTTTGATTCTCAGTAACTGAGATAAAAACTCACACCTTCTCTTACGCTTCCAGACCACGGTCGTGTATGTGTCCATTCTAACACTGAAAAAGTGGAGATGTAATTGATCTTAGCGGGATACTGGACAAATGTCTCGTGGCATAAAATGTATCCCTAAGGAACCTGATATATACTGTGAATATATCCTGTCACATAGGACGTGTTTCCATAGTAACCTGACATATGGTGTGAATATATACTGTCACATAGGACCTGTTACCAAAGTAACCAGATATTTGGTGTGGACTTCTTGTGCAACGAAGGACATGTTACCATAGTAACCAGATATATGATGTGAAACTCTCCTGCAACGAAGGACATATTACCATAATAACCAAAGGTAAATGACACGAATCACTTTTAGCACACAGTTATTAATTATATTCCACTTTCATAGTCGTGACAGTAACAATCAAGAGATTCCATTACGTAATCAGTAAAGAAGTGCCCGGATATTTAACCATTTTTTGTGATGACACAGAAAATTAACATTGACCTTCCAAGGACAGGCGTACGACAGAAGCTATACCTATAATGATACATGCCAGTAGCGCAGATATACATAACGTAATCATTTATATGTTCGCCGCCTCACGATTTGAAAAACATGGATAATTTCCTATCATTGCCAAAAATAATGCCAGACTACAAAATTTAATTTTTGAAAAAGGTTTTTACCGTTTTTTTTTCGGCGACATTTCTTGGCCATTATATGTACATATTTGCAACTACAACAGAACTGAGAAAGGTGATAACGCCATGGTGACCACAGAACAATTGGTATACATCATTGTAATGTGTGTGGCGGGGATTGTGACTGTGACAGGAAATGGCCTCCTTATATATATCATGTGTAAACAACGTAGTCTTAGAAATGTCAGTAATTTCTATATGGCCTCTCTGTCCATCGCCGACACGGGTGTCGGGTTATTTGTGATCGCTGCTATCGTCGTCACCATTATGGAAATTCCTGTACCGGTTGGTTGGTGTTATTTTTCTCCTTATTTTGAACTCTCGACCCTGTCTGCCGGAATCTTTTCCTCCTTACTCATCTCCTACGATCGACACCTGGCCGTGTCTAAGGCGCTGTCCTATCATCCGACGAAACGTTCGGCTGTGACGTCATTGGTGTTAGTTTGGGTTTCAGCATTCGTCTATAGTTCGCGTATATTTCTGCAGTACGAAGTGGCCAAGTTATTGAGCAGTGGTTCTGTGTTAGCAGCCGTGGCAAATGACAATACTACGTCGATCTTAACTGAAGACGACGATGATAAAAAGAACGGATTTTGTAATGTGTTGGCGGAGGAAGATTACAATGACTTGATATTTAGATGTATCGATTTCGTCTTCCTGTTTATAATCCCTATCACCTGTATGGTGTATTGGTATAGGGGTATTGTGAAGACCCTGTGGGCTGTTAACGTCACAACTACAGCTATTATAGCGAAGAAGAGAAGAGTCGTCAAATTGCTCATCATCAATGTGGTGGTCTTCTTCGCCTGCTGGATACCTTTCTATCTGGCAGACATAATCAACGACTCAATCGCTGTACTGATGAGTAACCATGACGATGATTTCGAAGAAGACGCTAGCTCAGAGGTCGCCCGACTCTGTCTTATCTTCTTTGCCGTATCACATAGTTATTTAAACCCTATCATTTTTCTATATTTTCATTCAGAATTTAGAGTGATACTGTTGTCACTGCTCTGCAAATGCGTTTCTAAAAGGCGCATGCGCGTTGAACAACAGACGGAATACAGACTGAACACTATTAGTTAATATAATTGGTATATAAAGAACTGGGTATTCTAATTAGTATCTAAACACATCATTAGGTATGTGTTACTTTATAAATCTTAACCAAAATTATCAAATTCAGAAAACATGAAAGTGTATTTTTTTAAGTTTTCTATGAAGAAGGTGCCCAGGCCACAAAAACGATTTATAGTTTACATTCTTAAAAGTGTCAATACGTGAAAGGGAAGTTTTTATTCAGTCGTGGAAACGAACAACGTACCAAAACATTGTGCGCACATCGCCCACAAACACGCGCTTAACAGTATAGCTAGCGCAAAACTGTGCAATATGGTAACATATTTCATGCAGTTTGATAAAAATGGAATAAATAAATTCTTTCATGCTCTTATTTAAAAGTCATTTCTAAAACTTATACCAAAAACGATAACATTGCACATCGGTGCGTTAGAACCGTGCACATCGTACAGACATGGTGCGCACATCATACAGACATTGCGCACACATCATACAGACATTGCGCACGCATCATACAGACATCACGCACACATCGTTCAAACAGCTTGCGCACATCGCACAGACATGGTGAGCACATCAAACAGACATCGTGCGCACATCGTACAGACATGATGAGCACATCCTACAGACATGGTGCACACATCCTACAGGGATCGTGCGCACATCATACAGACATCGTGCGCATATCAAACAGACATGGTGCGCATATCGCACCGACATCGTGCGCACATCGTACAAGCATCATGCGCATACATCTTACAGACATCGTGCGCACATTGTACAAACATCGTGCGTACATCGGATAAACATCGTGCAATCCCATAACTGTAGCTTATTTTAAAACGTTGTAACTGCATGAAAATTATCGCCAATTTTATGTTTTACAATTTAAAACGTGTTATTGTGTGATATTAATCGTTATTGAGAGACATCGTCGTTGTTTTTATAATGCAAAATTTAGCACGTGAAAATAATTGTCGTTTTTATAGTGTAATATTTAGCATACGTAAATAATTGTCGTTTTTATAGTGTAATATTTAGCACGTGAAAATAACTGTCGATTTTTAAGTGTAATATTTAACATGTGAAAATAATTGTCGTTTTTATAGTGTAATATTTAGCATGTGAAAATAACTGTCGATTTTTAAGTGTAATATTTAACATGTGAAAATAATTGTCGTTTTTATAGTGTAATATTTAGCATGTGAAAATAATTGTCGTTTTTATAGTGTAAAATTTAGCATGTGAAAATAATTGTCGTTTTTATAGTGTGATATTTAGCATGTGAAAATAATTGTCGTTTTTATAGTGCAAAATTTAGCATGTGAAAATAATTGTCGTTTTTATAGTGTAATATTTAGCATGTGAAAATAATTGTCGATTTTTAAGTGTAATATTTAACATGTGAAAATAATTCTCGTTTTTATAGTGTAAAATTTAGCATGTGAAAATAACTGTCGTTTTTATAGTGTAATATTTAGCATGTGAAAATAATGTGAAAATAATTGTCGTTTTTATAGTGTAATATTTAGCATGTGAAAATAATGTGAAAATAATTGTCGTTTTTATAGTGTAATATTTAGCATGTGAAAATAATTGTCGTTTTTAGAGTGTAATATTTAGCACGTGAAAATAATTGTCGTTTTTATAGTGTAATATTTAGCATGTTAAAATAATGTGAAAATAATTCTCGTTTTTATAGTGTAAAATTTAGCATGTGAAAATAATTGTCGTTTTTAGAGTGTAATATTTAGCACGTGAAAATAATTGTCGTTTTTATAGTGTAATATTTAGCATGTGAAAATAATTGTCGTTTTTAGAGTGTAATATTTAGCATGTGAAAATAATTGTCGTTTTTTTAATGTAATATTTAGCATGTGAAAATAATTGTCATTTTTATAGTGTAATATTTAGCATGTGAAAATAATTGTCGTTTTCATAGTGTAATATTTAGCACGTGAAAATAATTGTCGTTTTTATAGTGTAATATTTAGCATGTGAAAATAATTGTCGATTTTATAATGTAATATTTAGCATGTGAAAATAATTGTCGTTTTTATAGTGTAATATTTAGCACGTGAAAATAATTGTCGTTTTTATAGTGTAAAATTTAGCATGTGAAAATAATTGTCATTTTATAATGTAATATTTAGCATGTGAAAATAATTGTCGTTTTTATAGTGTAATATTTAGCATGTGAAAATAATTGTCGATTTTATAGTGCAAAATTTAGCATGTGAAAATAATTGTCGTTTTTATAGTGTAATATTTAGCATGTGAAAATAATTGTCGATTTTTAAGTGTAATATTTAGCATGTGAAAATAATTCTCGTTTTTATAGTGTAAAATTTAGCATGTGAAAATAATTGTCGTTTTTATAGTGTAATATTTAGCATGTGAAAATAATGTGAAAATAATTGTCGTTTTTATAGTGTAATATTTAGCATGTGAAAATAATTGTCGTTTTTAGAGTGTAATATTTAGCACGTGAAAATAATTGTCGTTTTTATAGTGTAATAATTAGCATGTTAAAATAATGTGAAAATAATTCTCGTTTTTATAGTGTAAAATTTAGCATGTGAAAATAATTGTCGTTTTTAGAGTGTAATATTTAGCACGTGAAAATAATTGTCGTTTTTATAGTGTAATATTTAGCATGTGAAAATAATTGTCGTTTTTAGAGTGTAATATTTAGCATGTGAAAATAATTGTCGTTTTTTTAATGTAATATTTAGCATGTGAAAATAATTGTCATTTTCATAGTGTAATATTTAGCATGTGAAAATAATTGTCGTTTTCATAGTGTAATATTTAGCACGTGAAAATAATTGTCGTTTTTATAGTGTAATATTTAGCATGTGAAAATAATTGTCGATTTTATAATGTAATATTTAGCATGTGAAAATAATTGTCGTTTTTATAGTGTAATATTTAGCACGTGAAAATAATTGTCGTTTTTATAGTGTAAAATTTAGCATGTGAAAATAATTGTCATTTTATAATGTAATATTTAGCATGTGAAAATAATTGTCGTTTTTATAGTGTAATATTTTGCATGGGAAAATAATTGTCGATTTTATAATGTAATATTTAGCATGTGAAAATAATTGTCGTTTTTATAGTGTAATATTTAGGATGTGAAAATAATTGTCGTTTTTATAGTGTAAAATTTAGCATGTGAAAATAATTGTCGTTTTTATAGTGTAATATTTAGGATGTGAAAATAATTGTCGTTTTTACAGTGTAATATTTAGCATGTGAAAATAATTGTCGTTTTTACAGTGTAATATTTAGCATGTGAAAATAATTGTCGTTTTTATAGTGTAATATTTAGCATAAGAAAATTATTGTCGTTTTTATAGTGTAATATTTAGCATAAGAAAATTATTGTCGTTTTTATATCTTATTCTATAGTATGTAAAAGTAAATAACATTTTTCTAATCGTTCTATGTATTCAATAGTGTAAATTCGTTAAAACATATTGTTAGTATTTTGTTGTAGTAAACGTTCAGCATTTTGTCATATCAGTGTTTATTACAATCTTATCTGTAACATATTTTAATAAATCTTGATTTTCATTGTAAAAATGGAATACTCCACTTGTGAAATAATTCTAACCTGTCAGTAGAACAAACAGAGTTGACACTCTAAAAACACACAAAACAAAACAAACTTGTACACAAGCAAAGTCTTCCCTTGGTGGTAAGATGTCACGGCGTGAGTTGGAACTAAATCTGGTCAGGGATACACAAAAAAAATATTTCTAAAGTGGTCAAGGATGACCATTAATCAATGACCATCAAAATCTAATCCAATGTATCCTGTATGAGGCTGTGAATATGAAGTAAACATATGACAATCTTACTGACGTCAGGAGATAATTCTTGTCTAATTCTTAAACCCAGATTTTCACGGACAGTAACAAATCGATATCAATCAACACTAGAGAACTGATATTGTCTCTATATCAGTCGTCACTAGAGAACTGACATTGTCTACACATCAATCGTCACTAGAGAACTGATATTGTCTACACATCAATCGTCACTAGAGAACTGACATTGTCTCTATATCAATCGTCACTAGAGAACTGACTTTGTCTCTATATCAATCGTCACTAGAGAACTGACATTGTCTACATATCAATCGTCACTAGAGAACTGATATTGTCTATATATCAATCGTCACTAGAGAACTGACTTTGTCTCTATATCAATCGTCACTAGAGAACTGACATTGTCTATACATCAATCGTCACTAGAGAACTGACATTGTCTCTATATCAATCGTCACTAGAGAACTGACATTGTCTCTATATCAATCGTCAATAGAGAACTGACATTGTCTCTATATCAATCGTCACTAGAGAACTGACATTGTCTATATATCAATCGTCACTAGAGAACTGACATTGTCTCTATATCAATCGTCACTAGAGAACTGATATTGTCTCTATATCAATCGTCACTAGAGAACTGATATTGTCTCTATATCAATCGTCGGAAAGCTTGTTAAGCAGCAACCATTCGGCCTTGTTTAACTCTGATGAAGACTTCAAAAGATTTTTTATTGAAAATAAATCTCAATTATAGAGACTGCTCGATGTTCACAAACATTCTCTAATAGTTCATGAATATCATTATCGGTGAATTTCATTCAGTATCAATTGATTTATTCATAGGCAGCAATTCACTCATTAAGGTAAATAGCGAAATTAATGTTTATGCGCATACCGGTAAATAACACCAGGAAGGAATGTTGGGTATTTCACTTAGTCCATACCGTAGTTATACCAGTAAATAACACCAGGAAGGAATGTTGGGTATTTCACTTAGTCCATACCGTAGTTATACCAGTAAATAACACCAGGAAGGAATGTTGGGTATTTCACTTAGTCCATACCGTAGTTATACCAGTAAATAACACCAGGAAGGAATGTTGGGTATTTCACTTAGTCCATACCGTAGTTATACCAGTAAATAACACCAGGAAGGAATGTTGGGTA